GAACAAAACAGCATTTAGTATATCTGTGATAACAATTAATTATTAAAATATCTAATGCATTACAGTATCCATTATTAATATTTTTAATGCATTTTACTGTACACCAGGCTTCAAGTTAAGTGTTACCAATATCTGTAGACATTTAGACTCAGGTGCATTAGTGCCGGAAAGGGTTATGAGGTTGTGAGAAAATTTGCTTTTCTTGCACCATAAAACCTGGCAACATGTGTGGTTGTAAGTTTACTAGTGAGCGTGCCAAAGCCCTGTGAGTAAAGGAGGCCTGACTAGGAATGGCTTATTTACAGTGTGTTTTAAAGAGTGTGTCGGATTTAACATTGCTGGAGGCATCTACTTGCAAACAGGATATGGCGAGTTAGGAGACTTAGTGGTATAACCATATCTGTCCACCTCTGCTTGTTAGAAAGCACCTCAGCCAACAGATTGTCTCATTGCAACCTACATCTGTGCTTCTGTGTTTCCAGTCCCTGAGGAAAAAGACTATGACAGAAGAATAGAATGAGAACTAGAGGAAAAGAATGGAGGAGCCTATATTAAATTCAGAATTGTTTGCAGCCCATATATCTTTTTTCACTTTCCTTTTCAAATTCAGTTCTGACCCCAATACAGAGAGCACCGGAGGGCTCTATTATACTAGTATTGACGGTTTGGGTTCAGGACCTAAACTTGGATGGCTGCTGTGGATATGTGTGTTTTTGTTCTTCTGGGAAAGAGTAAGACCCTGATGTCCTCCTCTGGTACACAAAGCCAATCTGAAGGTCCTGAATGCAGCCACTGAACATTTGCCACTCAGCTTCTTTGATGTATACAGCAGTCATTTGGTCCCTCACAAAAACATCAGAGAGCAGAATGCTTTAAGGAATATTTCTGTGCAGTACGGCATATGTGAGTGAGCGACTCAGTCAATGTTGCATAGTTAAAGACATTTTTTATATATATACACTACCGTAAAAAGTTTGGGGTCAGTATGATTTTTGAAAAAAAAGGTTTTGAAAAAAAAGAAGATTTTATTATGCTCACCAGGGGTGCATTTATTTGGTCAAAAATACAGTAAAACAGTAATATTGTGAAATATTATTACAATTTAAAAAAGCCTTTTCTGTTTTGATATAGGCCTATCCTGAGATTGCAAAGCCGAATTTTCAGCATCATTATTCCAGTCTTTAGTGTCACTGTAATAAAGTCCACTGAAGTGCTGTTGTTTCAAATAAACAAAATACAAAATAAAGTCTTGACTTAAAACATGAACTTAAACTTAAACTTGAACTTGAACTAAACAAACTCACCAACAGCAGGAGTACCAAGATCATAGATAGAAAAAGGAACAATGAAACATGAGGACTATTTATACGCAAAGACTAATGATTAAGAAGAAATTCCTGTGCATGATCAAGACAATAAACCAAATAAAAAACAGAACAGAGACACACATGACCTAAACAACCAATCAGAACATGACACATTAGACAAGGAAAGCACATGACATGATCACATTAGGGCTGCATTCCAGTCCACTTTTAGACATGCACTTGCAAACTTCCTTAAGCACTTGCCCTTGGGGGAATCCGTGCCGCCATTTTGAAGTGCTTTCCACTTCGTGAAGTGGACGAGGGAAGTTTATATGGACAGACCCTCGCTCCCTCGATTTTGACAGGGAGCGAGTCTACTTCATATGTACACTTTAGGCAGCTCCATATACCGCAGTGCAACACGATTGTGACGTCAACGCATATTGCGTTTAATTTACCCCACCACAAACAACTCTATGATATATTAATTATTAAAAAAAAAAATTAAACAACTCAAACACACCTATACATATAGAATGCTGCATTAAACAATTTCGTAATAAAATAAAATAAAAATAAACCCCATAGTGGATTCTAAGTGATCAAGGGCTTAGCACGTTCCAATTCAGCCTATTGCAAAGTGTAACGAGGTTCGTTGTTGTGGGAAGAAGGAGGCGTTAACCGGCGAACAATCAAAGACTTTAATAATAAAATAAATCAACAACAAAATGAAAGTATAAGCCAGCAGCCCCTCACGGATGACTGCTGGCCACACAAAACAGAAACAAAACATCACATAAGATCAGGCCTGTTGCTCTCTTACTCTTCACTGTCGTCGCTCCTCCTTTTATGCTTCCGCTCCTCCGTGAGAGATACGAGACCGGTGTGTCTCACAGGTGTCACTCATCAGCAATCACGCCACCGGCCTCGCGCCGCTCTCTCACGTCCCTCGGCCTCGTCCTGCTCGCCACACAAAGGTTCCGCCAGTAGTGGGCACTCATGCAACGTAAGCAATGACGTACATCCGAGTGAACGAGACAGAGGGAAGTTAGCAAGTGAAGGGTAAGACAATTTTGGACTGGAACGCAGCCTAGGGCAAGGGAAATCTCATGAAAAACCAGGAACATGACAATGGGAAAACTTCAAAATAAAAGACATGGACATGAATCAAAACCAAAAAAAGGCATGACAGGTCCCCCCTTCTATGGGCGGCTCCTGACTCTCTAATGGAACACCCACCCTAAAACAAAAACAACACAAAAACTCCAGGAGGGTGGAGGAGCGGAGGTAGTCAAGAGGGAGAGATGGAGGCCCAGGCCCATGAAGAGGACAAGGACCTGGATCATGGCCTTGATCGTGGAGCAGTGGCGGGCCTGGACTGTGGAGGAGTGGCTGAGGCCAAGGACTGTGGAACATCGACCGTGGAGCAGTGGTGGAGCAAAGACGGGCCTGGACCCGTAGACCACCAAGGCAGAACAGAAGGCCACCAAGGCAGAGCTGATGAGACCAGGGCAGAGCCGGCGGAGCTGGAGACCAGAGACTTTGTAGGCAGCGTTTGCGCACAAAGGTACCTCAGGAAACGGATTTTGGACAAACTTCTGAGGCAGCGTAATGGTTATGCAAATAGAGCGAGCTTTGATGATAAGTAAGTAAATATTTAGTTACTTCAATAGTAATTTCTCACTAGAAATTACATCAGAAGTGTAAAACGATGAACACACTTTACTAACGAGATGATGAGTTGATCAGGTGTGTTTGATTAGGCAGACATCTAAACTGTTGCTGCGTCCCAATTCGCCTACTTATACTACGCCCTAAAAGTATGTACTCTTTTTGTGAAGAAAAAGTACATACTTTTGAGTGTGTAGCAAAAGAGTAGGCAATCTTTGGGACATACTACTTCGTCATCTTTAACGGACAGATCTGTCGCTGCCCTGTCAATCATCTCGTCACAGTTAAAATCCTCCATTCAATCTAATATAACTTCTTACCATTTCGGAGAGAATTGTTGTCGCACGTTCATCTGCCAGTCATGGGTCTTTCATGCGGAGACTCCCCTCATGTGTTTGGAATTTGAATATAATAATGCATTTAAAAGTTAATGGCTAAACGTATCTTTGCAAAAGTTCACAATGCTGCTGCAGATGCAATATAATGTGGACAACATTGAATAAATACATTTTCGTCAGGTTAGATACTGATAATTAATCACTCAAACCCCTTTATCTAAACCTCTCTACACAACCGCCGGACTCGTGCGTCCTCCATGTCTGTAGTTTTTGAACACTTTTCATTCGTGTTTGTAGTTCTAACCGAATCCTCGTCCAACGCGCGATGGGTTGTGGGCAATATCAGCCGTTAGAGTGCGCATCGATCTGCACTTCGGATTCTGACCGGATATAGTAGACCATCCGGGTCTCTTTGGGACACTCATTTCAACATACTACGATTTGGGACGTACTAATTCTATTTTCGAATACTATTTAGGACGGATAGTATGCGAATTGGGACGCAGCATGTGTGTTGGGAACCACTGGTCTAATGAACAGTGTCAATGCATCAGAAATACACAGTTCTTCAAGAAACCTCCAGTTAACTGACTTCACACTTCACACACACCTCCTGAATTTCTCATCATGGTCTGGATAATTTTAGATCTGTGATCGCAGAGGCCAGGAAAGATATGTGACTTCATCTTGATGTCCACGAATTCACTCTCCTTTTCATCCTGCAGTGTATAGGGAGATCAAGGAATATCATGAAGAAAGAGAGTTTCCATCAAAGTGTGGTTGTACAGTAGCATTAATTATTCATATGAATTGGATGTTATGTAACCATGGAGAGCATTAGTGACTTCTCAGAATTTTGTCTTATTTAGAACAGATCTTCAACCATTAACAGTTTACAAGATTAACAGTTCCTTCTCACGTTCTCAATTTCTCAAAATATAAACACTTGCAGATATAGAAGAGTAACATTTTGAGGGATTGCAGGCTTTGTTTTACTTTGCAGGTGCCTTGCATTTTGTACACATTGTGCTTTTATTTTGAAGTCCTTGCAACATGTTCTTATTTTGTATTTGTAAGTGTTTCCTGGTAAGTGCCATTAAGTCACAACTTCGTTGTGTTTGTATAACCCTCGTTTTTTCTGTCCTTTGTCTGTAATGTTTGGTATGTTCAAGTTTGTTGAGAAATTTTCTGCATTGTCTTGCTTGATCGATTATCAGTGTCTTGAGCAAAGAAATGAGCAATCTATTACGTTTAAAAAATCAGGGAGGGCCACACAAACTTCAAAAGCACAATATTTACAAAACCATAATGAAAAACAGTTTTTCTCTAAAACCATATTTGAGGTAAACTATACACCTTTATGTCTTAAGTGTCATGTGTTTGTTCTGAAGGACAGGGTTTTTGAGCTTTCACAAGGTTATTCATCTTGAGTAGCCTATACTTGCTTGCAATGTGCTAACTGACTATTTAGTCGTTTATAACTGCTTCATGCTATTTTTAAAATGTGCATATTAAAAGCACCTGTTATGAGATCGCATTTACATTTCAATTTAATATGACTCACATGAAGCTGCCTTCGTGACTGATTTTGTTACTTCATAAAGATTTTCCCATCACATTTTCTGACCCCTCTAGGTATGTATATTGCAGTTGAAATATTTAATATGAGTGTTTGTGTTTGCAGGATAAAAGAATGGGTCGATCAACTGCAGCAGGAGCTGGTTGCTCTAGCAGACACAGCCAGCGCTGGGAATAATCTAAAACAGGTTAGAGGTCACACACACACACACACACACACACCCCTGTACATATTGATGTATGTGTACTTTGATGTGTATTTACCCAAACAAATTATGAGTGAGAGTTGAGCCTCAATAAAAGCCTGCTTAATTATCAAAACAATCATTACCGGTAAACCTTCATCTCATTACTTCACTACGAGAGTCTCTAATGAGTGCCCTTTTCTCTCCGTTATGGCAGATCTTTATGGATAATCAGAATTTATTCACTGTGGAAACAAATAATGCAGCACAGCTTGTGGAATCAGCGGCTCGGAATATAGAAAGTTTTTTGAAGAAGCGAGCCGCAGCTCTAGAGGTAAGACAATCCTGTTTTCACAAGTTCACACGTACATGAAATCAGATGTAGTAATTTATGCGTATTTGGCGTGCTGTCCGGGAGAGGGCTCCGAGCTCGCAATTTGGTCCGAACCCAGAGTACTCCCCCCCCCTTTACTGGGATAGAAACCAGCCGAGAGTGAGGTGACGGGGTGGTGGAGGGATGCTGTGAAACTGTCATGGGACAGAGGTGAGGGAAGGCTATATTTATTCCGGCTTCCTCTCGTGCTGATTGGCTGACTACCTGAACGTGCTCCTCCCGAACTTTGTTTCATAAAACTTAATTTAAAGTCAGCATGAAACGGAAACTGTCTTTTCTTTCCTATTGTGACTTATATGGGAGTGAAATGGCTTCTCGAACAAGGAAAAAATATAGGGCAGAACTTAATGTTGTCCTTTGGGAATTGATTGGATCGTTGTGGTTTGCCATTGTTGTAATCTCATATAAGTGACAGGTTGTCCAGCCAGTAAACATGTCATCAGAGAAGAGAAGAGGTCACTGCAAGAGGGAGGGGAAGTTATTTTGAATAAAGATTACAAACATTAATTGAAAATAATAATAATGTGCATGGATAAATCATTTATAATAAATCTGGTATTATTCCATAAAATGCACAAAGAATTGTCAATTTAGATTTCATAGTGACTTTAGACACACACACACACACACACGCACACACACATACATATTTACGTAATATAAGAATTAAATGTTTAAGTATATATATATATATATATATATACACACTCACCTAAAGGATTATTAGGAACACCATACTAATACTGTGTTTGACCCCCTTTCGCCTTCAGAACTGCCTTAATTCTACGTGGCATTGATTCAACAAGGTGCTGAAAGCATTCTTTAGAAATGTTGGCCCATATTTATAGGATAGCATCTTGCAGTTGATGGAGATTTGTGGGATGCACATCCAGGGCACGAAGCTCCCGTTCCACCACATCCCAAAGATGCTCTATTGGGTTGAGATCTGGTGACTGTGGGGGCCATTTTAGTACAGTGAACTCATTGTCATGTTCAAGAAACCAATTTGAAATGATTCGAGCTTTGTGACATGGTGCATTATCCTGCTGGAAGTAGCCATCAGAGGTAGGGGTGTGACGGTTATTATATAACCGTGAGACCGACGGTTATAGTTGAACACCGTCATTAGAACTCTATAACCGCCAAAACCGTGCTATTAAAATATTTTTTACAAACATTTTTTATCATAGAGAATGTTTAAATACTAATATCAGCTTAAGAGGGAAACGGAGGCTGCTACTGCTGGAGATGATTCGGGAGAGGTCTGTGCACCTTTACCGATCAGAGCGCGCGCTGACATGGAGTAAAGCCTTGTTTATACTCGACGCGTCCGCACGAGCGCGAAGGTGCGCGCGGCAAAAATGACGCGTTCGGTGCGCAAGACCAGCAAGACCCCATTTGGCTTGGCTGCGTGCACGGCTTTTTTTGTAACAGCGCGCGCGGCGCCGCGTCCGAGGATGACTGACTTCAAGCCGAATCTGCCCGAGCATGCACGTCTCACTGCACCGGCACGCAGTTTGCGCGTCTAAATTGCAAAGTTCATTCCAAGGTTTTTTCGTTAAGGTTTGGTTTACTGTGTGTGATTTATTTAAAACAAAGCACGTTCATTGCAACGTTTGTTTGTTTTGTTTGTTAAGGATTTGTTTACTGTGTGATCCATTTAATGGAAAGTACATTCACTTCTAGTTGTCTTGCTGTTCATGTTAAATAAACGGCAGTAGCTAATCAGTGTCTGCTTGTTTATTCAAACTAAGTTGTCCTATAACAGACGAACAGTTGTCCCCCCCATGGACATGGTCAGAAACAATGCTCAGGTAGGCCGTGGCATTTAAACGATGGCCAATTGGCACTAAGGGGCCTAAAGTGTGCCAAGAAAACATCCCCCACACCATTACACCACCGCCACCAGCCTGCACAGTGGTAACAAGGCATGATGGATCCATGTTCTCATTCTGTTTACGCTAAATTCTGACTCTACCATCTGAATGTCTCAACAGAAATCGAGACTCATCAGACCAGGCAACATTTTTCCAGTCTTCAACTGTCCAATTTTGGTGAGCTCTTGCAAATTGTAGCCTCTTTTTCCTATTTGTAGTGGAGATGAGTGGTACCCGGTGGGGTCTTCTGCTGTTGTAGCCCATCCGCCTCAAGGTTGTGCGTGTTGTGGCTTCACAAATGTTTTGCTGCATACCTCGGTTGTTACGAGTGGTTATTTCAGTCAAAGTTGCTCTTCTATCAGCTTGAATCAGTCGGCCCATTCTCCTCTGACCTCTAGCATCAACAAGGCATTTTCGCCTACAGGACTGCCGCATACTGGATGTTTTTCCCTTTTCACACCATTCTTTGTAAACCCTAGAAATGGTTGTGCGTGAAAATCCCAGTAACTGAACAGATTGTGAAATACTCAGACCGGCCCGTCTGGCACCAACAACCGTGCCATGCTCAAAATTGCTTAAATCACCTTTCTTTCCCATTCTGACATTCAGTTTGGAGTTCAGGAGATTGTCTTGACCAGGACCACACCCCTAAATGCATTGAAGCAACTGCCATGGGATTGGTTGATTAGATAATTGCATTAATGCGAAATTGAACAGGTGTTCCTAATAATTCTTTAGGTGAGTATATATATATATGCATGCACATACTTATGTAATATGAGTATAAATATAATATATATATATATACACATTTTTTATGGAAACAAAAATTTATGTTAGATGTGATTAATCGATTTGAAAGCTCTAATATAAATAAATATATATATATAATTAAAACAGTAATAATAGCTCATATAACATATGTGCATGCATATATATATATATATATACAGGTCCTTCTAAAAAAATTAGCATATTGTGATAAAGTTCATTATTTTCCATAATGTAATGATAAAAATTTAACTTTCATATATTTTAGATTCATTGAACACCAACTGAAAAATTTCAGGTCTTTTATTGTTTTAATACTGATGATTTTGGCATACAGCTCATGAAAACCCAAAATTCCTGTCTCAAAAAATTAGCATATTTCATCCGACCAATAAAAAAAGTGTTTTTAATACAAAAAAAAAAGTCAACCTTCAAATTATTATGTTCAGTTATGCACTCAATAGTCAATACTTGGTCGGGAATGACTTGCAGAAATGACTGCTTCAATGCGGCGTGGCATGGAGGCAATCAGCCTGTGGCACTGCTGAAGTGTTATGGAGGCCCAGGATGCTTCGATAGCGGCCTTAAGCTCATCCAGAGTGTTGGGTCTTGCGTCTCTCAACTTTCTCTTCACAATATCCCACAGATTTTCTATGGGGTTCAGGTCAGGAGAGTTGGCAGGCCAATTGAGCACAGTAATACCATGGTCAGTAAACCATTTACCAGTGGTTTTGGCACTGTGAGCAGGTGCCAGGTCGTGCTGAAAAATGAAATCTTCATCTCCATAAAGCTTTTCAGCAGATGGAAGCATGAAGTGCTCCAAAATCTCCTGATAGCTAGCTGCATTGACCCTGCCCTTGATAAAACACAGTGGACCAACACCAGCAGCTGACATGGCACCCCAGACCATCACTGACTGTGGGTACTTGACACTGGACTTCAGGCATTTTGGCATTTCCTTCTCCCCAGTCTTCCTCCAGACTCTGGCACCTTGATTTCCGAATGACATGCAAAACTGAGCAACAGTCCAGTGCTGCTTCTCTGTAGCCCAGGTCAGGCGCTTCTGCCGCTGTTTCTGGTTCAAAAGTGGCTTGACCTGGAGAATGCGGCACCTGTAGCCCATTTCCTGCACACGCCTGTGCACGGTGGCTCTGGATGTTTCTACTCCAGACTCAGTCCACTGCTTCCGCGGGTCCCCCAAGGTCTGGAATCGGTCCTTCTCCACAATCTTCCTCAGGGTCCGGTCACCTCTTCTCGTTGTGCAGCGTTTTTTGCCACACTTTTTCCTTCCCACAGACTTCCCACTGAGGTGCCTTGATACAGCACTCTGGGAACAGCCTATTTGTTCAGAAATTTCAGAAATTTCTTTCTGTCTTACGCTCTTGCTTAAGGGGGTGTCAATGATGGCCTTCTGGACAGCAGTCAGGTCGGCAGTCTTACCCATGATTGCGGTTTTGAGTAATGAAACAGGCTGGGAGTTTTTAAAAGCCTCAGGAATCTTTTGCAGGTGTTTAGAGTTAATTAGTTGATTCAGATGATTAGGTTAATAGCTCGTTTAGAGACCCTTTTCATGATATGCAAATTTTTTGAGACAGGAATTTTGGGTTTTCATGAGCTGTATGCCAAAATCATCAGTATTAAAACAATAAAAGACCTGAAATATTTCAGTTGGTGTGCAATGAATCTAAAATATATGAAAGTTTAATTTTTATCATTACATTATGAAAAATAATGAACTTTATCACAATATGCTAATTTTTTGAGAAGGACCTGTATACACATATTTATATACACACACACACACACACACACACACACACACACACACACACACACACACACATATATATATATATATATCTTCATTTAAAAATGTGGTTGCTTGTGTAATTTTAGGAAGCTTATTGAGTTGCTTATTTGGGGTTGAACAGATGCCCCATAGACACCAAAATAAAATTGCATCTACCCTCTTGTGTGCTTTTACTGACCTGCATCTGATCTAAGCATCAATGAGTATGTGTGTACTTTCGCTTGTATGTGTGTGCGTGCACACGCCAGCTGGCATAGGAAAGTTGGATGAATGGATTAATGCCAGCGGGTTATAATTGTTATCAGCCTTTAAAAGATTCTGGGTGTCTGAGCCCGCTGCAGATGTGTCGGGCTTTCCCGGTTCACTGATGCCATTCTGCAGACCTGGAGGAGGTTGGCATTGCTGCTGTGTTTGTGTGTGTTTGGTTTGTCTACCCGTGGGCCCATTAGCATGCAGAGGAAGTCTCAGTAGTGGTCAAGGCT